CCAGGGATCATGGCCACTGAGTTGTTATAGGAAAAATAAAAATTCTAAAAATATGGACCAATGTTCTCCAGCTTCCTGGGCTGGTCAGATGTTCCAGTTTTTTTCCCCCCATTTATACTCTTCAGTCTATGTATGCTGATCTTTGATTTGCAAAATACAGCCACCGTGTCTTTGCAAACAGGGCTGACCCCTGTTTGTGTGAGCTGTTCTAGAGCCATGGGTGTGGGAGAGTATGGGGGCCACTGCTGCCAGTGGGTCTGGGGGGGATGGTGCCCAAGTGGGCAAAAGACCAGTTGATCCCTGACGTGCCTTCAGGGTGCAGACTCTCTCCAGTGCCCAATCTGGGGTCTCAGAGTAGGTGTGGAGGCAGGGTAAGGTGGGTATAGTTGAGATAGTTTTTTGCAGAGTGGCCCTGCCTGCTTTGAGGAGGTCCCTGGGATACAATGAAGGACAACACACATGCCCTGCCTTTGGAGCACAGCCTGCTCTGTGTGTGTGTGCAGGTGCCAGAAGCCATTGGCAGTCACACCGGGTTCTGTGGGAAGGGTAGACACAAGGTGTGGGGGCACAGAGGAGGGAGGGAGTAGAAGTAGGGCACTTTCCCTGAGGGAGTGGAAAGTTGGTGGAGGCCCTGGGGATTTGCTTCTTTATTCTATCCACTTTTATTGATCACCCACTGTGTGTCGGGCTCTGTGCAAGGTGCTGGGGATATAAGGTGAGCAGAGGCAGATGTGTGCCTGTCCCCAAGGAGCTCAGAGTATCTAGTGGGGAAGCAGATATTGATTGAACAACACAGAGATGAACACGAAATTCCTGCAGAGGGAGGAGAAGTGAAGCGAAGCAGGTGCTGTGAGACTCGGCAGCAGATCTGGCTGGGCAGGGAGGTGGGGAGGGCTTTCCAGAGGGCGGCTTTCTACAGGAGTGACCACTGGGGTGGGTATGAAGTCAACCAGGTGACTGTGGCAGGGAGGCCACTCCTGCCCCCTTATAGTTTCCACTGCTCGCACGATCTCCTGGGGAACTCCTTTCTCCAAGGCCTTCACTGGCTCCTGATCTCATGCAGAGTCCAAGCCACGT